CACCCCACCATGCAACCCATGTTGTGTCGCTACAATTCGTCGGTATGACAGAAAGTGGTAAGTTGCATAGACATAAAAGATAGACCCAGTATATGTGTTCCCAACGTGTCACAATCTTCCATCTTCTATGTATGTCTATGGTAAGTTGTAAATGCGGGGAAGAAGGTGAGGAGAGAGAGCAGGTGGGGTGGGAGGGGGAGGGGAGGGGAGGGGGAGGACGATGGAGGGGTTGGGGCGGGGATGGGGCGGGGGTGGGAGGGGGTGGGGCGCGCGCAGCGCGCCGTGCTAAACGCACTTGCAACTTACACATAAACCAAACTTTTTTTCCGTACAACGGTGAGAGTACAAATACATAAAAACCTAAACAAGTATGTCAAAATATATTTATGATGCAATGCCAAGTACATTTTCGTTTAATGGATATATCTGAGACATAATATCAAAGAATGTATCCAAACGAACAGGAAAGTCATACATCCTTTTAAATAAGAATTCTGCCAAATAATGTTCGTAATGCTTTTCAGATATTCCATACTTTGGAACTTATTTTCTTCATAACTTTTTAACAAACAATGAGCGACGGGAATGGGCAATGACCTTGACCTCCTTGGGGGTCAAGGTCAACATCAAGGTCAAACGGAAGTTGATTGGCGGGTGCTAAGTAAGGGTAAATATTTACCTCTGGATATTTAGTTCAATGCTTAAAATCACAATTCGCAGCAAATACAATTGTGCGAATTATTTATGTTTGTGGCAGCCCGTGACGTCAACGTTTCATTCAAGCAACTATTTCCTTTAAATTCAATAGCATTTTGTATATAATATTATATACTCTCTAAAATTTTTGAAGTTAAATTTTCACTCGAATTGCAACTGGAATCATTCTAGCAAAAGGAGTGCAGATTTCAGAGGGACCAGAGTGTCGTCAATATAACTTCATGGGCAATTCTACCGGCGCGGCGCGGGATGAGAAGGCTCTCGAAGTAGCAGTGGCGACGATCGGGCCCATAGCCGCCTCCATAAATGCCAGCCCGAAGATATTCCAGCTTTATCAGTGAGCAGCGTATTTTTATTTGTGTTGAAAAAAGAGACGCGCCCGTGCAAAGTGCCACTAACGAGCAAGTGACGTTCGCGCGAGTTCGCTGACAAAACGTGTCGCGCGTTTCAAGAAATATGCGCTAATTTTAGACACCTGCTATTTATTGCGCAAACTCGCGGCGATATTGCAATTTCCAGTATTTATGGATCGACTGAGCGATTGGGGGAGAATAAAATAACAGCGCGAATTGCGATGCATTTGGCGTAAATTCGAAAAAATTCTACCGATAACCAACGAGCGGCAGCGACAAACAGTTGTTTTCCGCTCCGATAGCTAATCGCTCGTAATCCGGCAATAAATATGTTAGTAGATATTTTAGTCAAGTTTCGATGGCAGCCGATTATTACTATCGGCGCACAAATGCGCGTTCGTCTGAAGTTGAACTCATTAATATTTCCAATATTGTGTCCGATATTTAAATTATTACACAATAAATTCGCTATCGAATCTGTTAATCGTTTATCGGAAAGAGAATTATTATTCAGACTGTCCTGCAGGTTCTTCATCCAACGTATCGATTAAAGCTTACATCAGTTAACGAATTCTCAGATATTTGAATATTATAATGATATAAAAAGAACTGAAATCGCAATATTCGATCGCCCAAATACCATTTCTATAAATATTAAATTATTCATGCGGCTACAACCCTCCGATAAACTCTTGATACGATAATTGAAATTGCAGCATTACGTGTGCAATGTTTACATGAAAGGCGAGAAGATTGGAAATTTTACCCGGAACCCCGTCGTAGATAGAAATTGGTCTAATCGCTTGATAACCTTAGCATACCGTCGACACGATGACTCTCGTTCATTCGAAGCGCCGAAGCATTCTACCGGTCAGTCATTGAACTCGTGCCGTTCTATAAAGGGCCCACAATGCCAAGGCGCGACTATTTCCTCTCCCATTGTTCATTTCCGGCGGACAATAAATATCCGCGAGAAATCATGAAAATCGTTCATCACGAAAATTTATCACGCGTGGCAAACGGGAAGCGATTGATATCCCGAGATGTTATTCCGCGAGCTCGCAATAAATACAGGATGCCGATTGCAAACACGCGTTATCAATATGCAAACGTGGTGCATTAATAATTGCGCGCTCTTGTGTATACAATAGTTCACGCAAGTTCAATGTTGGTGATTCACGTCTTCTAATGGGGAAACGTCTTTCGTGCGCGATGCATCTCTCTCTCCTTTACTTTCTCCACGATATTCATATCAGATTTGACGCCGGAATGCTTTGCTGCTCTCGCGATCTGACTCTAATTTTTCATGCATTAATAATAACAGTTGCGTTTATATTTTGGCAATAATCTAATGCTATCTCTTGAAATTGTACAAGGAAGTTTGAGACGTTAATCTGTATTTTTCCACTCATAGCAAAGGCGTTTACGACGACCATCAGTGCAGCTCGGACATAGTGAATCACGCAATGCTCATCGTCGGATACACACCGACCGAGTGGATTCTGAAGAATTGGTGGGGCGACAATTGGGGTGAAAATGGCTACATGCGACTGGCGAGAGACAAAAATCGTTGCGGCGTAGCTAACTACGCGGCTTACGTGAGAGTTTGACATTCGTAGAAAAATATTAACTTTTACATTCGAAAGAAATTTCGATAAATTTATACGTATTTGTGGCGATTAGCCATCAAAGTGGATAAACATTATTTTCCTAGATATTTTCTACCTCCTATCCTCTTCTTACGTGCATGAACTCGGAATGAAAAAAAGAAATGCTAAAATTGTAAATAAGTAGCAAGTTCAATGATTCCCGTTGCATTTCTACCAATCTACCAGCGTTACAGGATCAAAGATTGCGTGTATTCAAACGATTAAACTTCGGGCAATTACTAAGGATCGCCGAACATTTATTACATAACAGCCACTGACCGCAGGACGGACGCTCGAGAGAGAATGCCAGATACCAGACTTCCGTAACACACAGGGTCCCGGGGAAATTTAATCGAACCGTACAACCGCGGCACGATAGGAACGTGGAGACTTTACCCGATCGAAAATTCTGTCCGAAGACGAAGTACACGGCTAACCGGGACATATCGCATTTCCGTAAGAGACAGAGGCAGAGAGAGAGAGAGAGAGAGAGAGAGAGAGGATAATTCTCGATAATAGTGGTGTTAAGTTATGTATCCAATCAGGTAAAAATTCATTGTATTTTTTCGCAAATTTATATTAATATTTTGTAAAGTTGTTTAACACTATGTATCATATCTATTATCCCAGCTTCACTGAGGATGACCCAAAGACGGGTCGAAACGTTTGGATTATTTATTAAATTGTTTTTTAAAAAAAAACATTGACAATTTCGCACGGACACCTGCTGTGGGCACGCATTGGCCGTTTCTCCTTACCTACCCTTTAATAAAATCATATTTTAAAGTATTGTTTATTGTGAATAGAATTTGAGTTTAATGAAAATGTAAAAATTTTTTAGCCTGAAAGATTAAGTCGGGATGCGGCGTTGTCACGTTCCGTCGTCGATATCGCGTCAATTGATGATCATATTATAGCGCTTTCTTAATAATAATTGCAAAACAAGCAAGCAAATCGTTTCAACA